CGCGCGTCGTCGCTCGACCGCCGACGCGATTCGACGTCCGTGGCGGGCGAACGCGCGCGAAGGCCCGCGGTCGCGCGCGCGCGTGTCCAGCGCCCGCGCGCGCGCCGAGCGCTCGGACGTGCCTCGACGACGTCTCCGTGTTTCGGTACCAAATCGATGGACGCGTCACTTCGTTCCGACGTGTTCTCTTCGACACCGTGGACGTGCGCGCGTGCGCGTGCGTCGCCGCGCCCGCGCCCGCGCGCGGTGCGGCCGCGGCGGAAAAATGTACGACCGTCGTACGAAGCACCCGAAGTGCGCGCGTCGCCCATCGCGCGCGTCCGACGCGCGATCGCGTGCGCGCGTGATCACGTACTCGGCGCGAGCGAAGACGATGTGGAGACGAAGAAAAGGTGTGCACAACCATTACGGAGATTAGTCAAAATCCGGCGTCGCCGGAGAATCGTTCGGTCGGTCGTCATCCGCGCGCGAGAGAATCGCACCCGCGTCGAATCGCATCCGACGTCGACGCCCGCGAGCGAGCGAACGGACGCGGACGCGCGAACGGACGCGGACGCGCTCGGACGCGGGGCGACGCGGACGCACACCCGGGTTTCGCGCGGTGCGGAATCGCGCACATGGCGCGCGCGCCGACGGGCGAACGCGCGGCAGATGAGGGCGAACGCGCGCGGATCACGCGCATCGCCAACGTCGTGTGCGATGAAGGGACCGAGGACGACATCGCGCGCGCGTTCGCGTTGGCGGAGCAGACGGTGAACGCGACGAAACGCGCGACGTCGCCGCCCCGGAGCGTCCTCTACGGCCTCGTCGGCGTGCGAACGATCGATATTCAGGGCTCGACGGAAGATGTGTTGAAGTTTAGACTGTCTCAAGCGATCAACGTGCTCCGTGAATCGGCCGTCGTACGGGAAGATGGCGACAAGGGCGGAGGCGCCGCGACGAGCATCTACGAGCACCTCTTAGAGGGATTGAGCGGCGACCCTGATTACGTCGCCGTCGGGCTCGATACCCTGGAAATTCACTCGATCGGAGATTATCCTGGTCCTTTAACTCGGCACGCGAACGCACAGCTCGGACCCGACCGACTTTGGGACGTCGCCTCACGATTCCTCGACCGGAGAGCGACGATGGCGTGCACTGTGGCGGCGGCGCACGTTCAAAGCGGAGAGGTTTCCTTCTTCCGTGGTGAGCTCGAAGGCGAAATCGTGCCACCAAAAGATGGGGCGACCACAGATGAGCGTGACTTTAGGCGCATATTCCAACCGAAGGGCAGCGCGCGAACGCTCGTGGAGCTGTCGTTTGAGGAGCGAGTGAAGACGTCAGCTCAGAGACGCGCGATCGAGCAATTCGTCGCGTTCATCGCGTCAGAAGGTTCGATCGATACGGTACGGCCCTCGGAGCGTGAACCAGTGCGTGGTCTATCGAACGACAAAGATACGAGCCCTTCGGAGCTTTCCGAGGGAGAAGGACGCGTCGAGGATGTGACACCCTTGGATGCGTTGCTCTTGAGCCACAAATCTTCTCAGGAGCGAAAAAAGTGTGCCAAGCCTGCCATCGCTCGCTCGAACGCGCGAACGGACGACGTCGCGAAGAAACCCAGAGGTAGACCTCAGGGCAGTACCACGAAGGTGATCCAGGACGGAAGGGAGAAAGAGCTCACCAATCGTGTTGCGGCGGAGCGCGCGAGCGCGCGAACGGACGACGTCGCGAAGAAACCCAGAGGTAGACCTCAGGGCAGTACCATGAAGGTGATCCAGGACGGAAGGGAGAAAGAGCTCACCAATCGTGTTGCGGCGGAGCGCGCGAGCGCGCGAACGGACGACGTCGCGAAGAAACCCAGAGGTAGACCTCAGGGCAGTACCACGAAGAAGCCCAGAGGTAGGCCGAAAGGCGGTACGAATACGGTCTTTCCCTCCACGAACGTGAAATCCGCGCCCGTGGCGCGATCGCCACCAAGATTTCCCGGGATTCCGCCAAATGAACGAAAGGAGACGTCGAAGCGAGGAGCCAACGTCACTGGTCAAGATTTCGCTCACACGGATCTCACTCCTGAGGCCAAGTCCAGCGTAGCGCGCCAAAGTAGCTCTGGTACGCACGCTCTTGACATCCTGTCGCGCAAACTCAAGACTAAATCACTAAAATTCGAATTCAACTTTCGTACGATTCCGTCTGTGGTATAGTGCGAGGCAGCGTTGAAAGGAGAACGGATCTACGGTACCTGTAGTACTAGCGCACTGCCTCAAGTGAAACTGTATCGTGTACACACTGTTAGATAAACGCATCGCCTTTAGACATCTTTTAAGATCACAAGTCTACTCTTCGCAATCACCTAAAGATCGTAACACACGCTCCAGCTCCTCTGGAAATCTGTCTGAAAACTCCAGTTGTTCTCGCGCAAATTTGCGTACGGCTTGCGCGTCGCAACGTCATAGCCGAGCCGAAGGCGCAAGTCTTGATCCTCCTGAAAATTGAACACCTTGTGCGTGAGCTCTATCGTTCCCTCGATCTCCGCAGCTTGACGCTTTATCCCGTACGATACCCCGCCTCGAATTCCCAGCGTGGTCATTCCACTTCCCGACGGCGTGACGTCCAATAATTTTCGCACGCGCGCTCCGTACCGCACGTCGTCCCTCCGCGTCTCGTACGTCAACCCTATGTCCGCGCGATCCGGCGCGAGCGGAGTCGTTCGCGCCGGAGCGAAGAAACGTTTTCGCACGTGCGCTCTGCCGTCGATGCGACCGTCTCGAGTGTCGAGACTACCAGAAACCTGTCGCGAGAAGTCTCGAGAGCGCTCGTCGTCAGTCACTCAAACCTCCGCGACGCTCGTCGCGCGACGACGCGCGATGCGACGTGCGAACGGAGACGAACCGTCAACACGACATCTTCATTGTTCGTGAATCGTTCCTTGGCGAAGAGGCACAGCGCACGACGGTTGGAGTCGTAACGAAGGCTCGTCTCCATGCTCTTTGACGCGCGTCGCGGAGTGACGGCGCCGGTACTCGGAGCGATTGACGACGCGAGGGAGAGAACGAGGAGGCACACGGCGGTAATGTGAATCTCTGATTTCCGTGAAGAATGGGGTGTTTTACAAACACGAAGACGTTCGAAGACAAACGCGAGGGCGGTCCTTCGTCTCAGATGACCGCCGCTGCGGGTGCTTCGAAAGTCGTCGTCGCGGGATCGGAATCTCTAGTAAAAACTCGTGTGCCGTCGCTCGCAAACCTCAGGGTGATGACTCTTTGTACTTTTTCAGCAACACTTTCTTGTACTCCTCCGGCGACGCCCAAAGCTGCGCCGCAGCGACGTTGAGCGGAGAATCGTTGTTTGGCTCTCCCAGGAGCGACTGAATGCTCAAGAGGATCGTCCGCACGTTGTACACCGGGCTCCATTTTTCCTTCAATATGTCTAGACAAATGTTTCCGTACTGATCCACGTTCGGGTGGAAGCACGGCGTCTCAAACTTCACCGTTGGCGCCTTGAAAGGGTAATCGTTCGCGAAGGAGAGCGTCAGTCTGTACTTGAGGTTCTCGTAACACGTCCCGGCTGCGCCCTCGATCGTGCCGACCCACGAGAAGATGTTATCGCCGTCCGGAAAAGCCGAGATTCCACTATCAGCGCTCGTCATCAGGCTCATCAATTCGCTCTGCAGCCTGGTTGGGCGCGTAAAAAGGCGCGAACGGTCAGACTCCGCGCGTCGCGCGTTCCCCCGCGGCGGCGCCCGCGCGCGTTCTCCCAGCGCTCTCTCGTCGTCGCTCGCACCTCCTCGCCACGGCGGCGGAATCACTCGTGGGCACATCGCTCGCGTTCGTTTTCGTCGTCCCGGACGTTCCCGCGATGGTGCTCGTCCCGTTCGAGCTCATGGCGACCGAGCGCACCGGCGCAGAGGGGAACGGAGGCGCGACTCTCGCGACCGCGACGCGCGCCGCGTGGAACGCGCGACGGGATCGAGCGCGCGGACGATCGAGAGCGCCGCGCGAACGTTCGCGCGCGGCGTCGCCCCGAACGCGCGACGTCGAGTGCGGCGCGCGTCACGGTCGCGGGTCGAGGGTACCGGTCGTTGGGCCGACACCCAGGCGAGCAGGCGCGGGACGCCGGGCCAGAGGACGACGGTCTCGAGGAGACGATGAAATCGATCAACGGTCATTGCGGTGGAGATTGAACGAATATATATGTATGAATGAATGAATGAGTAAATAAAAGAATGAGACGCGAGTCCGATCGGAAACGCTCTCGGCTCAGCGCTTGACGACGTTGGACGTTTTGAAGAAGAACGAGTGCAAGAACTGCATGCCGAACATGAAGATGCCAAGGTAGCCGCAAGCAATCCAGCGCTCAGAGAACTTGATGTCGTATTTTTGTTCGACGTATGATAACGTATCAATCTTCTCAAAGTACGTCCCTCGGAAGGCTTGAATCGTCGGGCAGTTACCACCGGGATACGGACCCGTGCAACCGCGTCGCTCAAACTGCGGAGCGACGACGGCTTGTATGGAGTACGACACGGGATTGATGTAATAAGCCCACTGCCAGTACACAGGGATCTGAGGAAGCGGTAAATACAAGCCACCAAAAAGAAAACATATCGGTATGAAGGCAGAGGTACCAGCTTGAGCAGTCTCGATGGTCGAGCAAAGACACGCCACAGCCTGCCCGAAACTCAAGAAGGTGAACGACACCATGAAGTTTATGAGAATGTGGAAGAACAGTCTCTCAGCAGTTGGAATCATACCGACGAGAAAGTACATCGGGATAACCGTACAAAGACTCACTACGATGAGCCATGGGACCTCGATAAGAGCTTGCGCCAAGGAAAAGGGAACGGCGTCGTACATGAACGAGCTTCGCTCGCGAAATGCCACAGCGCGCTCTCGTACTCGCACTGGCATGACGCTGTTCATACAAATGATACCAGTGAAGATGGTCGTCATGAACACACAAGCCACCATGGACTGCACACCAGCCTCGTCTGAGGTATCCAGATCGAGATAGATGACGCCGAAGAGGATGTACAGAACTGTCAGAATACCAATGCGGCCACAGTTGTAACCTATATCACGCAACTGTGCGTTGTTTGTTCGGACAAGAATCGCACTCAACTGCGTTTTGAACGATCTGGCGTAAGGAGAACTAAAGCTGAACATCGGATCATTCGCGCCCCGCTCGCTAATCTCATTCACGAGCGTCATGGCTTTCTTACCCTCACTGCTCTCGAGGAACTTTTTGTCGAGCATCATCCCATCCAATGCAATGCCACTGCTCGAGCGTCTCATGTTACCTTTCCCGTTGATAATAGCCTGCTTGTCCGATTTATTCGCGGTACCGCTCGAGTCACTGCCGCCGAGGACGTCGAGCATCCAGCTCGCCGGGTTCATTCCCGCTGGAAGAGGGATCGACATGTTGAGTGACTGCAAGTAGTTTACCATTGATGAGCCTTCCTGACCAAGTTCACCGAAGTACACTTGATAGCCGCCGCGCTGAAGAAGAAGCATGTCATCGAACATCATGAAGATTTCCGTCGACGGCTGGTGGATTGTGCTAATCACAGTTCGTCCGAGCGCGGCGACTTTCTTGACCTCCTTCATGACGATGAGAGCGCTGCGAGCGTCCAACCCAGACGTCGGCTCGTCCAAGAAGAACACAGGCGCGTTGGAAACGAGCTCTACCGCCACGGTGAGCACTTTTCTCTGACCTGGAGCCAATCCGGTGTCGCTACCAGCAGTTCCAATCATTCTATCCGCGATGGAGTCAAGTTCCAGAATTTGGAGCGCCTCATCGACGAAGGCAGATCGAGTTTCATCGCTGATGGAAGGATCCAAACGGAGCTTTGCGCTGAAGTCGAGCGCCTCTCTGACTGTTGTGAATTCATTATGCATGTCCCGTTGTTCGCAATAGGCGGTCAGCCGAGCGAACGTCTCCTTCTGCACTTCATGACCGTTCAACTTGACCTCTCCAGTTGTCACGCCAGTATTCTTGCGACCGGCGATGACGTCAAGAAGTGTTGTCTTACCCGCGCCTGAGCTCCCCATGAGAGCTAGCATGCGACCCGGCTGTGCCGCAGATGTGATGTTGTGTAAAAGCTGCTTCGATACGGTCTTCTCCCGTTTGTTATATTTCTTATCTCCGTCGGGTTTATCTTCGCTCTTATCACCAGACTGAGGAGTCGCCGCAGCAACTTGAACAGTGTAGCAAAGATTCTTCCACGAGATTGCCATGGGAGTGAACTCCATCGCCTTTTGAGCGGCAGTAACATCTATACCCATGTGAATAACCGCGTCCTCATTTTCGGCCTTTTCTTCGATCCTACTCGAGCCTATGTTGCGTTGAATACGCACGGTGTACAACGTGCGCAACCCGATGAGGAAAGTCAGTCCAAAAAATCCGACGCAGAAGCCGGGGCCAGCCCACTTATATGAAGTATCAGAGGTGATCCCAATCGTATCGAGAATAATTTCGCCCATGTTGCCGCACGCCGGGAAACCGCTCAGCCCTTGAGTACACAAATCATTCATGGAAGTCGACTCATAGGACGGGTTGCTTGTAATGAATGATGCGGCGGCGACAGTGTCCACTGGAACGAGCGTATCGTAAGAACTCGATAAGAATTCATTTTGACAGAGTGATCGAAGGCAGTAAGCAAAGATCGAGATCCAGTACATGAACTTCAATCCCCCCATTTTGTCCGGGCTGATCAAGAAACCCGCAAACAAGATCATGACTGCGATGAATGGGCCGGGATACGTCTGAGCTATCTCCATATTCGGTGCAAGCAAAGCGATGACGCGGAAGAAAGACGCCATCGCAACGTTTACTAGCACGAGCTGCAAGTAAAAGAACGCCCAGTTCCTGAAAGCTAGATTTAATCCAACCATAGGATACAGGACGCAGCTGAAGATGAGCGTCTCAACGATGGCAATCGGAAGGTGGACCATGGCCCAAGAAGCAAGGTATGTGAGCTCGGGAAACAGCTTCGAGTCAAGGTGCTTGAAAGCAACATACTTTTGTTCGACGCTGAAAGTAAGCTCGGAGAAATTGGAGAAGGAAATGTGCAAGACACAGAAAAGGAGCATGCCGAGTTTTTCGAATCCTCGCTCTAGAGGCAAATCAAACCAGACAGAGCCCAGAATGAGGGATGTCACGCACGCTCCGAAGATCCTTGCGTTCAAGAACAGCGTGTTTCTTCGTGTGACCTTGTACTGACGCACGAAAACCGATTTAAAGTGGTCGGCGAAAGAACGAGGATAGCTGAGTGAGTACTGGCTCTTGGCGAAGGGCGACTTCAGTTCGATGTCCGTCGGTGTGCACGTCGACTTCATTTTCACGTCATACGCTGGGCTTTGCCTCCACGAAGTGACCATCGCATCGACGGTAGTGGGAATTTCTGGTGTGATCTTTGTTCCCACATTTTTGAGTACCTCTCGTGGAGAAACGAGAAGCGAGATCAACCAGTCGGCCAAGTCGGCGCCCTTCTCGCTCGGCGGTGTGAATCCCAAACCACTGAAGTAGCTCTTCACTTGGTCTATTGGTCCATGGTACACGGGCGCACCTTCTTTTAGGAGAAGCACCTCATCGAACAGGGAGACCACCTCTGGCGTTGGCTGGAGAAGCGCAACGATGCACGTGCCTTGAGTCCTAGTTGCCCACTGCTTCAAACCGGCGATGATGTTGTACGTCACCGCGGCATCGAGGCCGGTGGAGATTTCATCCATGCACAGCACCTGTGCGTTCTTGACTAAAGCTTCTGCGATAGTCACGCGCCTCTTTTCACCGCCAGACACGCCGCGAATGAGATCATTGCCGATGATGGTATCGCGGCACGACTCCAGGCTGAGCAGCTCGATGACTTTATCCACTTTTTCGTCGTGCGATTTCTTCCCTTCTCCGTTCGGAACCACGCACGCATTTTCATGCGAAAATCGCACTGTTTCGTCGACGGTGAGATACGGCAAGTGTTCATCTAATTGCGTGACGTACTCACACAGACGCTGCAACGACGTCCCGCTCGCCTCGAGCTCATCCTTCGTCAGCCCGCTGTACGTTATCGAACCCGTGCTCGCGATCGGGTTCACGCCCGCGATTGATTTGAGTAACGTCGTCTTCCCGTGTCCCGGCGGCGCGAGCACGAGCGTGAGCGATCCCGGTTGAAACGTTCCTCCGCACCCGCGCAAAACCTCCAGCTTGGTCTTCGCCTTGGCTCCGTCCTCGCTCCCCCTCACCGCGCTCGCGAGCGCTCGCATCGGCGACACGATCGCGTCCGCGAACACCTTTGGCACCGTTCGTATCTCCCTGCTCGCTTTCTTCGCGTCCAGCTCGAGCGTGCACGCAAAGTCATTCAGGCGAACCTCCACCTTGGGCGGGACGCCTCGCGCGCGCGCGTCCCGGTCGAGATGGTCGACGAACGACGCCAGCGCCCCGTCGCGCGCGGTGGCGTCGGACGCCATGCTCGGAGAACACCGCGGCGGCGACGGACGTACGCGCGAGGGGCGATCGAGGCGCGAACTGCGGACGAACGCGCGCGCCGAGAGGAACACGTGATGACGTTGACGCGACGGCGACGCTCGAGACGCGTGGATCGATCGAGCGCACCACACTTGACGCGCGACGATGCGCGCGACGCGCGCGACGACGACGATCGCGACGAATGAGCGCGTCGGGCCCGCGCGTGGGCGTCGTCGTCGGCCTCCAGCGCGTCGAGCGGGCGTTTTCGTACGCGCGAGCTTCGGACGGTTCGCCACCGAGTCGACCGCGCGCGCGCGCGATGGGGTGAAGCCGGGCAAGGGACCGGGGAGCCCGCCGTATTCGGAGATTTATGATTATCTCGCGTCTTCTCGAGCGGTGAGAGAGGCGTCGATCGAGGACGTGCGGGCCGTGGTGCGCGGACGCAGACGAGGCGCGGTGATTGACGTCCGTCAACCTCTCGAACACGAGGAGTGGCGTCTGAGCGGAACGAAGAGCGCGCCGTTCCTGGTACCAATGAGTAACCAAATTCGTCGGGCGAGTGGTTACTTTTTGAGCATCAAAGGTGGGTTGAAGGAGCGAAACGCATCCTTCATCGAGCGCGTCGACGAGTTGACGAACGGCTCGCGCCGAGAAACGGTGATCCTTTTGGACCTTCGCGGCGGCGATCTTTCGATCGCTCCGAACACCGGTTCGACGTCTATAAGCGATCGGGGTGATTCTTTAAGCTTGAGAGCGGCTTTTGAGCTCGTGCAGGCCGGATACACGGATGTCCGATACGTCGTCGGCGGCTTTCCGACACTCATAGACGAGGGAGGATTGGAGTTCGAAAGCGAAAAGTACGGAGCGTTACTCGACGCTGTCGGCGACCGGACCAGACGCACGCTCATGTATAGTAACTTACTTCCTGATCCTAGTTTGGCGCCGGGCGTCCTCGTGCAGCTCGTACTCTTGCTTGCTCTGGTGATATTCCAGCAGGCGTCGTCGTGAACGTAGCGTAGTCTCTCCAGTACATCTTTCATAGTCTCTCCAGTCCAAGACACGCGTCGGACTCGCGCGGACGTCAGACTCGAACCAATGTGTGATGACGTCTCTACCCTTGACACCGCGCTCACCAAGGCGTGCGAATCGATCGGATGTCCTTGGTATGTCGACATGATTGTCGAATGCGCCTCCTCGGAAAAACTCCCGCTCGCCCGAGACCTCCTCCTCGATAGCGTCGACGATGATTGGACGACGCGCGCTAAGAAGCTGCTCGTGGACGAGTGCGGTGTGTCACCGCGAGATGCCGAGGCTTTAGTAGATGAGGTGCTTTCGCGAGCATCGGACGAGAGACGCGCCAGATACGGCTCTGGCGACGGGTCCACGAAGGGCGAGAAAGAGAAGACCATCCACGGGGACGCGCGCGATTATATTCGTGGCGCGCGCGGTATTTATGATGAGAAATTTCTCGAGCTGGTGGAACCGCTCTATGATTTGCACATGGGCGTTGAGAACATGGGACCGCTTCTGTACGCCCTTTGTCGATTCGTCAAGCCTCGGCGAATACTCGAAGTCGGCGCTGGTTACACGAGCATGTTCCTCCTACAGGCGCTCGTAGACAACGAAGATGAGATAGAACGCTACCACACGATGATCGAGCGCGATGCCGCGCGTCTGGGTGACGTGCCGTGGGCGGTGAATGACTACGACTACAGCGCGAGAGACGCAAGACTGCACATCGTTGATAACTGTGCTCACGAGCACACGACGGCGCACAAAGTCACTGATATTGCCGAGACGCTCGGATACCGACATTTCCTCCACGTTCACATCACGGACGCGTTCGACAAAGAGCTACCAAGCACTCTGGCGGTATCAGAGACGCAGTACTTTGACTTATTGTGGATCGATCTCGGAGCTGCGAACAGGATTGAAGGCTTCTTCGAAGACTGGTGGCACCGCGTCGACGCAGAAGGTGGGCTCGTCATCGTCCACAGTACGCTGACAAACTCGCTTTCTCGAGTCTGGCTCGAGCGAATGCGGCGCCTGGCAAGCAACGGCGGGCGTGATGATGACGGTTCAACGCCGTTTGGTCCTTTCGTGACAATATCATTCCTTGAGCCGTGCAAGGTGTTCCAAAATTCGTGTTCCATCTTTCAGAAGCGGGGCGGTGCGCACGGTGGTGAGTGGACCGAGCGTGTGCTCACGAAATACCCTTGACAATATATTATAACAGTCTCGAGCATTGAAAACAGAGAGAACTAGTCAACTGTACTGTCGCGCAGTGAGAGAATCCTGAGCTTCAGTCACCGACACGTCGAATTTCACGGACTGTGCACTCTCGCGTTGCGATTGAACGATCCTCTCTTTCATTTACCGCAATCGCGCCCGCGATTCATTACGCGTGACGTCGTCGCCGCAGAAGAACGCATTCGGTACGCGATTAAGCCTCGATGCCGCTCGAGCCAAACTTCGACGTCTCGGGAGACGAGAGCGATAGAGCGGACGACGTAAAGGTGACGGGGCGATCGCAGGCGCGAGAGAATGTCACGAGTGATCGAGTCGCTCTCGGTATGGATCGAAACGATCCTACGACGTCACGTGGAGGTGGAGACGCGCCGCGAGGTTTGGACGCGCAAGCGGGCTCGAGGTTGGAGACTCAAGTGACACGCAATCAGAGGCCTGAGGCGGTTGTGCGGCGGGTGCCAAGTGACGGATCGAACGAGCAGCAGGTTTCAAAGGGCGGTGATGCGAAGAAGACAGTTGCGAGCGCCGGTGCGAGTCTGAAATCGGGCAAGGACTCAGCAAGTTCCACACAGTGGTGCGCGGTGACGATGGTGGAAGTTTTCGGCGAAGAGCCAGTGCCTGGCGTACTTCTTGACATATCTAACTTCTTGCCCGACGCTGAATCGCGAGCGAGATATCGTGCGGTTCGAGTGCTCGGAGAGAACGAAGTCATGCTCTTGGGTGCGGGAAATGATGAGGCTATCAGGACAGACATAGAGTTCATCAAATTTTGTTCCGCAAAGGCGAAGGGAGAGGTGGCACCTTTGGATAATCCGGCAAAGTTAGCGACAGAAGCACGGCTAGTAGAACTCCCATTGCGCGACGTACTTGAAAAGAATCACAATCCGTCAAAGCCCAGCAAAACCGGCGTGACTACTTGGTGGGATGGCGATGTTTACCAGTTACAGACTAAACTAGAAACCGTGGGTCGACGCGGAGCGAAGAAATTTTACTCCACTTTTTTCAGGATCGATCATGTCACCGGTAACGTGCTCGGTTTTCCAAACTGCAATGCGAGAGGGGACGAGTCGCTTGGTTGTACTCAAACGCGACTGCGCTCGATGAAAGCTGTGGAGAAAGTGCTCGGTAGATTACGAGAACAGGCCCGAAAATCAAGAGACCTATGGAAGCAATTTGAGAAAGAATCGAGTTTTAAGGGTGCGAGGTTTGACGAGCCTGATACGCTCAAAGAGCTAGGCGAAATAAAAAGTGTAAAAAGGTACGAGGTAAACCGTGCTGGTGGACGAAAGATGGTGGCGCCTATTCCACATCAACCTACTGTATCTGAAAAGTCGAAGGGCTTAAAAAGGATGAACCCAGAACCTGCATCAGGCGCAATTACAGAGACGTCCAAATCCGCTCTCGCAAAAGTACTGAAGGTCACAGCAAGAAAAACGAAGAACGAGAAGGTGGAAGAGCAGACAAAGGGAACAAATGGAGCGAGAAAGAAGAAGCATGCGGAAGCAATACAACCTTGGGGCGGACACAAGCCACCCACCGTGGTCGTCATAGGTGCGGGGCCGGCTGGATTGAGCGCAGCCCGGAGTTTGAAAGCACACGGTGTTGAAGTTGTTGTTCTTGAATCACGCGATCGTGCCGGCGGACGCTGTCACACCGTTGAGATGAGCGCCATGACGGAGTACGGTCTACCGAGTATAAATGTTGATCTTGGGGCTTCGTTTGTACACGGATGTCACACGTATAACCCACTGTTCGTGATCGCTAAGGAGAACAAAGTTACACTGAATAATGCTGGCGGCGGCTACAGCGCCGGCTGGGGTGAACGAGCTCTATGGTATGACACGGTGCAAGGCGGTCGCGTCAAGGAAAAAATAGTACAACAAGCCTTCAGGCTGGTTCGAAAATCGACTGAACTCATGTTTCGGGACGAGTCGAGAGACGAGATGCAACAACTCTACTCACCCATCAAGCCGCCGGTATCCAGCGGAATGTTAGAGTCAGCGGCTATTAACGCCAAACCGGTGCCAACGCAAAGGATTCATGTCGATCAACATGTGACTGAAGACTGCTCACTAGAAGATGCTTTCAACCACGCCACCGATAAAATAACTAGTCAACTTCTCAACGGTGACAAGCGCTTTTCCCAACTGAAACCAGTTTATGAAAACATACCAACCGTCACATGGGCGTATGTCTCGCCGATGAGTGAGATGTCTTTTAGCATCGCGCGAACGTTCAACAACGAAGTTCTCGAAGCAAAAGAACTGCTAGAGCGAGATATCGTTTCAGAAGACTCGGGAGACAAAGGCCAGGGGGCTGAGGCCATGGAACCTATCGATTTGAGCGATGGGATGGTGGTCGATGGTTATAAAAATCTCATCGTAGACCGATTGGTTGGACAAGGAAAAGAACAGTTGGACATTAAGTACGAGCATGCGGTTACACGTGTCACTCAGGTGAGAGAAAATGAACGACATAACAAGTTCGGGACTCGAGAGTATGACGGAATTTCGTACGACATTGAGTGCTCAAATGGAAAGAATATCAAGTGCGATTACGTCATAGTTACGGTGCCTCTGGGGGTCCTACAAAAGCAAAAGATCGCGTTCGAGCCGTCTCTCAGCGATGAGAAATGGAAGGCGATAAAACGTCTTGGGATGGGTACTGAGAACAAGATATACATGCGCTTCGCCGAAGTGTTCTGGCCTAAGGCAAAATTTACGCAGTGTACGGACCTGCGATACCGCTTTCTCAACTTGGATGCCTACGGGAAGAAGAATACGCTTTTAGCACATGTTTCACCGCCGTACGCGAATGATTTTGACGGTAAAGTAGACGACCGCGATGTCGTCCGAGACGTGTGCCGAATTCTCCAGAAGATGTTCAAACTGAAAGAGCTTCCAGTACCGTTAGACTCAAAGGTGACGAGGTGGGGCCAGGACGAGCACTCGTACGGCGCTTACTCGTACATGAAGGTTGGTTCATCGGTCGAAGACGTAAAAAATCTGAGCGCCACTGAACATGGTGGCCGCGTATATTTTGCTGGTGAAGCCTGCTCCATCGAAGGCGCGCAGTGTGTTCACGGCGCCGTACTCACGGGCAACGCGGCGGCGATGAACATCTTGAATCTAGGTAGAGTAGAAGTTCATGAGAAGAAAATCGTCGGCGGATCTGCTGGCACGCAGTTACATGACGACGTGAACTGGGCAAAGTGTTGCGAATGCAAGATTTTTCGCCGAGCGCCGCCGAGTTTCGATGCGACTGCCAAGTTTAAATGCAAGGATGCCATTGCTTGGAACACTTGGCTCGGCAAACTTGGATGCGAGTATCACGATGGCACCTTTCTTCCTGACGCCCGGCACGAACGCCTCGTGCACATACGTCCCGATCATCTCTCCAGCGCCCACTGTACACGGACGCGCGATGCGAACGAACAGCTCTTATGCTGTAGGAAGATTTGAGCTTCGAAATTGTACAAATTGTATCACATACATTTAATGCGAAGTGCCCCTGCGGCATCCCCACAGATTCGCGCTTCTAACAAGTCTAAGTCGCCGCCGAGTCTTATCCACTCGTCGCCGTCGTCCAGGTAATGCAGAGTCACTTCCTTCTTACCATTCAAATGTAGCTTCGCCAAAAGAGCTGCGAACGTCATATCTGATGTCAGCTTAAATCTCACCACGTCATCCTCTACACTTGCCTTGACAGATATCGCGTTGGCTACAACGCTTGGTGGTAGTTTTCTAACAACTTGCTCAAGTTTGAACAAGTCCTTTACGGTACCATCCATCGTCAACTTGATTCGTATAACGTTTGATTTTCCTTTATGTGTGTTGAGAGCGATGCACTCGTCAAAGTCTTCCTGACTACGCATCAAGCACCAGTCACCCTCATCGTCTTGGTATTTGAGCTTGCAGTTGGCCAGTGTTTCGGACAGCATAGCGCCTAGCGCTTCCGTGAGCTCAGCGTATCGCGAGGCCGTTACTAATCGAACCCGCATGAGAGTATCGCCGACACTGATCTTCACGATCAGCGCCTGATGTTCTGAGGGGTCTTGAACTAATCCTTCAAAGAAGTCAGCCATTTCTTGATTATTCCTGAGCTCGTCCAGGGCGGTGTTTCCGTGAACAGATTGGTCCAGCGGTGGCGGAGACATATTGAAGTTGTACATTCCATGCACGCTTTGTTCAAAGCGCGTAGGTACATCGAACTCTATCGCGTTGAGTGCGGCATCATTTCCATGCCAACTCGCACCGCGTTGCATCTTGCCACCACGCCAAAGAGCTCCAAGATTACCGCCCCTATGAACTCGTTCCTCAAGACCTCGTTTGTGATGTTGTGCTTCGTGCGATACTCCAGCGGCATCACGAGCAAAGCGCTCAGCGGCTTGGTCTAATAATTCTGAGGCGTACGAGATGGCGCTACCAGTAGGTTGAACCGGTGATTCGGACCGAAGTTCTCCGTAGCTATCTTCGCCACCCTGAGACTTGGTCAGGATCTCGTTCATACGGCCATTCCTGCTATTGAGGCTGCGTCTTGGCCAGCGACGAATGCCATACTGTCGACAGATGCGCTTGAGCGTTGTACTACCGACTCCTAAGTCGCTTGCAGCCTGCTTGAGGTGCTTGTGAAAGTTCGCTTGCAAGACTTCGAGGGTGATGCCCCACATGGTCGATACGTTTGTGCCTTCTATTTGCACATCCGACGCAGTTTGCTCCTTCTTCATCTCTTCAAGCCACGTTTTCTCGGTTTGCGTGACGACTGAGACGTTCAGAGAGCTTTCAAGCGATGACCAGAAGGCCTGCACTGTCTTCGCTTGCTCTCGAGGTGATTTCAGATTGGGGTCGAGGAGGACTTCTAATAACACCTCAAGAGGCGCGCCTGTTTTGACGTCATTGAAAGCAACTTTTGAAACGCACATGGCGCGGATTTGGAGCAGTTCACACGCGTGTTTTAGAACGAGATCACGACGCGAGATCGTGCTCAAATCGTGTAACCAAATCATGGATCCACTTGTCCATACTTTTGAAAACGTTCCATGACTGTCTGCTATCCCAACATTTGACGCGAAGTTCCTGTATTGGTTGAAGTGTGTCGAAATCTGATAAAACGGCGCACCAGCAGTGACAAAAGTTTTATCTGCGGCGCAAGGAATCCAAATCTGAGCGTAAGGAATGTCCATTCTAGAGCAGAAATCTTGCAACCTTGTTGCTATTGAACCAGAGTCTAAGCGCTGACTGTCTGGTGCAATCCTCTCCGCCATCATGATAGGTGGTCCCAGCAGCGGCGATGTCGCCGATTTCAAACCGACTGATGTAATTTCGTTCAGAATCTGTCGATAAAGGGTTCCAATATTATCTAATACTCGAAGGAACGTGACCTCCACTATGCCAATAGGTGTCTCCACAGCCTCAAGAAAAATTGGCACGAGGAGCTGGCTGTGGCAACCCATTTCACACGCCAATGCCTTCCTCTGATACTCGGACGGGTTGTAGCACTGCACAGAAGGCGTGAACTCGGGCTCCTTCGTCACGAAAACGCGGCCCGGGGCACCCGATACCGGTGTGAACCCGTCATGACCTGCCATATACGCGTTCAGCGAGAAGCTCTTAAACTCCGAGTGGAACGCCCAAAGTGCATCCATGTGGTTCGCACTCTTCAATCCAACGAGTTCATCGCACGCGCTCATGGTCCATTCCTCGTCACGTTTGTCTACAAGCCATACCTGGATGAGACATTCGTGTTCGATGATACTTTTGACGCCCTCTGCCATTGCCGTGAGCTTACTCCGCACGTTGTCCACCGCATCTTCTAAACCGTCGTTCACAGATCCCGTGGATGCAAGAGCCGCGCGCACTAGCGAACGAACGGTTGAATCTCTCCCCGCGCTCCTCGCTCTGCTCCTCGATTTCGATCTCGACGTCGAGCGCGTATTCCTACCCCTTTCTCCAGCAGTCGCCGGTCTCCCCACCCGCCCATCTCTCGGACCTTGCGTCGTCGCTAACGCGCCTCCCTGAACGCGCTGCGCTTGATCGGAGTTCATATCGTCCACGAGTCCGTCGAAAAGGGATTCGACGTCTCCGAGCACTGGATCATCGCTCGCGTCCGCGTTCGGAAGTCCCTCCAGGAATGCTTCGAGTAGGGCGTCGCCGGGCTCGCGCTGGCACGACGCCATGTCGCGCTCGCTCGCACCCAGCGCGGTGAAACTCTCAAATAGAGAGTCACTCCGGAGTGCGACGCGCGCGAATCGTCGGTGCCGGCGGCTGGCTATGGGCGTGGGCGTCGTCGTCGTCCTGCGACGGTCGACCCACCGACACGGTTGGTTTCGGCGGCTACAATACTGGGCGATGTCCCATTAAATGTGTCGACCGAGCGAAAGGACCACGCCGCTGTTGTTTTTGTTTTATCAATGAGAGATAGGAAAAGACAGGACAAATTTACCCTATAATACACAAACAATCGATGTCGAGATCGACGGTGACGAGGACGACGAGCCGAGGCTGGACACTCGAGTTCAACACGTGGAATTACAACTTTTGTTCGATCTCCTTCGCCGCTGCGGCGGCGCGCTTCTTCGCCGCGCGCTTCTTAGCATTTTTAGCAGCTGCTACTGAGAGTTGGCCTCCGGCGCCCGGGGGTCCAGAGTCTTCCACTGACTTGGTCGCGGCGCCGGCCGGTTTGTACTTTCCGGCTTTCATCTCTTCCTCCGATGCCTTGGCGAGACTGAAGTTACCACTTCCACTTGTCGCGTGCGGTGGCCTATACGCCGTTTTCGCTGCGTGCGGAGGTTTGTACGCTCCGGCGGGTTTCGCCGTGGACGCCTGCTGACTGGCGGTCTCAACGCGCTTGGACGCAGGTGAAATGGGGCGATCTTGAAAAGTTCCCTTGGGAACCGGGCGCCAGAACGCCTCATAGATCTTCGCGCGCTCCTCGTGGAGTAATAAGTCCCCGTTATATCTCCAAATCTTCCAGCCATTGTCAACGTTGAGACGCGGAGCTACCGTGCTCGTGAGCAGTCGTCGACCGTCTGGAGACCATTCGAGCGTGACCGAACATGCCGCGCGAGTCGAGCCTACCGGCTTGTACTTCCCGTCTTTCATCTTTTGAAAGAATTTTATGTCACCGGGTAAGTTGCCGAAACCGGCGAGAGCGATGAAGCGGCCAAATGGGTTCCAACGAAGCGTGTTGTGTGGGCCGGCGCCGAGTTCATACTTTGGCTCGCACTTCGCAGCCTTGTAAATGGTCGCCTTCGCCGGCATGTATCCGTATACCACGCCGAACTCATCACTACACGGCGACCATTGCGCGTCGTGCACCGGTCCTTCCTTAGAGAGCGGCACCGCCCCCTCAAACGAACCATCCGCTTTGAGGTAGTGCAAACAGCTCTCGCCGTAATATGACTTGTTCGTGGCGTCCACCTCGCTCGATCCTAAAATCAACACGGCAGATCCATCCGGCGCCCACATGAGATCGACCTCGGTGACGCGAAAAAATGATTTGCGCGCCACCGGGGTGGGATTCTCGATAACTCCCTCTTCCGTGTGCTGGGCGAGCTCGTAAATACGCACGGATCCAGGTGCTCCTTTCACCTCGGGAACGAAACAGGCAACTCGAGGCGTAGGACCGGGCGAGATCTTTGCCACCGCCACTGAGGGTACGCGCAAACGAACATGTTTCTCGAATCCAGCGTCCGGTCGAATTATTTGGATCTCGTTACTGACGCATCTAACCGCAGTCGAGTCATCTTCACTGAACTGAAAGTAAGGCCACTCCGCTTTCAAGAACTGCCTCTGGAACACCTCGTAAACCTTGCTGGGTGCGGTGCCTGAGCACATTTCTTTGACGTTCCACACCGTTAGATTCTTCTCGTCCTTCGCCGCCCCCGTTGCGGTCTGCTTCTGGTAGATGGATAAGTATTTCTGTCCAGGCGAAAAGCTCAGCGCGGTGGCGCCTCGCAACATCATCGTCCCTTTGAGCGCGTGCGGCTCCACGCTCGCGTCGTACACGTCCACCTTGTCGGCGTTTGCGCACGCGAATAACATACCATCGCGCGAATAACACGACGTCAACGCCTCGGTCTCGCTCTCCGTCGTCGCCGAAGCGCGAAAAGCGTGCGAGGCGTACGCCGCCATCGCCTCCTCGTCGCTCTTTCCCATCGTGCTCGGGACGTCGTGAAACTTCCAGTGCTTCATCCCCACGGGCGTGCGCTCGGTGACGGTGGCGGTGATCATGTCGTCCGTCGTCATCCTCGAAGAAATCGACGCTCGTTCACGCGCGCGTCGAGCTCAGTGGCGCTCGCGGGAGTGCTCTCTCATCTTTTCAGCCGCGCCCAGGGGCTTGCGGGTGGGAATCTAGGGTACATAATTCTTGAGTGCGGACTCGTCAGTACTAGGGACTCAAAACACCCGGGAGTCGACGTCCCGCAGCACCGCGACCGAGCGCGTCACTCACGCGAGTTCGCTCGATCGCGCGCGTGCGACACGATCGTTGGAAACATGTCCACCGTCTCGCGCGCCGTGCGGTTCCGTCCGTGCATCGACATACACAACGGCAAAGTGAAACAGATCGTCGGGAGCACGCTCAGGGACGGCACGCGACCTGGAGACGCCGCCTCGGAGACGCCGGCGACGAATTTCGAGACCGAGATCCCGAGCACGGCGTACGCCGAGATGTACAAGAGAGATGGAATCTACGGTGGCCACGCCATACTGCTGAGCAAGGACGAGGCGACGACAAGAGCGGCGATGGAGGCGACGCGCGCTTTCCCGGGCGGGTTACAAATCGGCGGCGGCGTAAACCCGTCCAACGCGAAGCAGTTCCTCGACGCCGGTGCGTCGCACGTAATCGTCACTAGCTACGTGTTTCGGGACGGCATGCTGAACGAAGACGCTCTGAGCGAGATGGTGCGCGCCGTGGGCCCCGATAAACTCGTCCTCGACTTGAGCTGCCGCCTAGACGCGTCCGACGGCCAATACAAGGTCGTCACCGATAGATGGCAAAAGTGGACCGACTTAGCGGTAGACAGTGCTACGCTGGAGCGATTAGCAAAGTGTTGCGACGAGTTCTTAGTGCACGGCGTGGACGTGGAGGGCATGAAGCTCGGAATTGATTTGAAGCTCGTCGAGCTTCTCGGAGCTTTCTGTCCTATCCCCGTGACATACGCAGGGGGGGCTCGAAGCTTGGAAGATCTTGAGCTCGTCAAGGCATCTGGACGAGGTGTGGTAGATATCACGGTAGGCTCTGCCTTGGATTGTTTCGGTGGGGCACTAAAGTACGACGATGTTGTCGCCTGGCACAACGCGCAGAAGGAACTCGTCGTCGAACAGAAGTAATTGTTTTAAGCTAGGCGTATCTCTTACACCGGTATTCGCTAACTGTCGACGCCCTTCATCCCTTTATCGGTTCGCCTTCGCGACACGCTCCAATTCATCCTTCTTCTTGATGGCGTACGAGTTGCTCGAGCCCTTCGCCGCGTTGATCAACTCATCAGCCAAGCACTCCGAAATGGTCTTCACGTTGCGGAAGGCCGCTTCGCGAGCACCAGTGGTGAGCAAATAGATGGCTTGGTTCACGCGGCGAAGCGGGGACAGATCGACCGCTTGACGACGGACGACACCCGCAGAGCCGATGCGCGTTGCGTCTTCGCGCGGACCGGAGTTGATGATCGCGTCGACGATGACTTGCACCGGGTTTTGGTCGGTGAGCAAATGAATGATCTCCATCGCGTGCTTCACGATGCGGACAGCCATAAGCTTCTTACCGTTGTTGCGACCGTGCATCATGAGCGAGTTAACCAGACGCTCGACAATCGGGCACTGCGCCTTGCGGAAGCGCTTGGCGGCGAAGCGCCCGGCCGTGTGCGGGACGTACACGGCGTACTTCGGCTTCACGGCAATGTAATCCTGTCACACGAATAAAAACGCGAGGTAGCACGGTCAGTATCGCGAAATACCTTCAACGGGCGTTCGTTCGAGCACTGGCGTATAAGACTTTCGTCCAGACCCTGTCTGGCGTGCGCGCGGCATCACCGAGGACCACACGCGACCGACGCGACGCGTGCAAGCCACCCGAGCCGTCGTGGATACGATCGAGCAAATGCGTATGCTCATTTCGGCGATGATCGGCGCGCGCGCGATCACATCCACGAACGGCGTCGACGCGATCTTGCTCCCGCGTCCAGGGTTTTCAAGCAGTCGCGATGAATGCCTCGCTCGGCGTCCACTCGCGCGAAGCGTCTCGCTCAAAGTCCTCACCTCCAACGAAATGTCGTTGATCTGTAATGCACACGTTCGTTTCTGTCAGTCTTTGATCTCTTCAGGACGTCTCGCAAGGTCTGAGCGTCGTCCGTTCCCATCGCGTTCGCGTGCACCGTGACCCTAGCGCGCATCGACGTGTACGGGATGCGTCGCCGCTTCGACGCGCTCGCGGACGATCGCGCGCGACGATAAAACGTACCTCGACGTCATCGAACGTCCACTTTCCGAAGAGCTTCACTTCTTGAACAGTCGCCATGATTCACGCGCGCTGCGGAGAGGCGGATGGGACGCGCGCGGGTCGGAGTTTCGGTGAGGCGAAATGGTGGTCTCATCGAGAACGACGCGGACCGAGTCGAGGCCCCACGACGACTCGGTCTCATCGAGAGCGACGCGGACATTTAGGCGCTCGAGCCCTCGCTCGAGGGCTCGTCGACGCCCGCCCTCGCCGCAGTCGTCGTCGTCGGCGGCGGCGGCGACGGTGGTGTCCTCGCGATGGCTGGAAAGGCAAAGCCAAAGAAACACACCGCGAAGGAGCTCCAGGCGAAGGCGGCGGCGGCGCTGACGAACAAAGGCGGCGGTGCCGCGGGTCTCGTCGATCGAAAGGGAGGAGCCGCCGGGCACGCGAAATTTAAGTGTCCGGTGTGCGGCATGGCGGCGCCGAGTGAGAAGAGCGGGATCGCGCACTGGGACTCGAAGCATCCCAAACTTACCTTCGACTTCGCGCAGTGGACCGATCAGCACGCGGTGCACGGGGGGACGACGCAGGGCGTCGCGGTTCGCGGTGCGGCGAAGGACAAGTCGGTGGCCGAGTTACAGAAGACCGCGGCGGGTCGAGAGGAGCTCGCGCGACGGGAGAGAGAGAAGAAAATGGTCCAATATTAGAATCAGAAGCGTGCGTGAACGCGTCGCGACGATCGACACCTCAGTTCATCCTCAGCGAATCTGTTTTGTTTGTAACAACGGTAGGAAACATCCATCCACCAAGCGCCGGTGGCGTAACGCTTGAGAAAAAACTGAAACGCTCGAGTGACGAGAACTTGGACGGGTGGTCACAGCGCGACGAGAGATCGATTCAACGCCGCGACGAAACCGAAAGAAAGCAAACGACGCGGAGTCCTCACTCCACGTGGTAACGGATACGAGCCTCGGCGCGATGTCGACGGGTGCGAGAGAGCGAAATCTAGCCGAGGGGTTGGCCGAGAGCGTCGTCGCCGACGCGAACGAGAGCGAGACGGACGCCGACGTGTGGTCCGATGATGAACACGAGGATATCGTGCGCGCAACGCTCGAACGCGAGAACGAGAGAGGTTCGGAGAAGGTGGATGAACGAGACACGCGCGTGCGAATCCTTCTCATTCGTGAACGCGACGCCGAGTTCGCGCGCGACAAGACGTTCAAGGCACGCTCGATCACGGATCTGAACAACGAGGCGGTGCGACATCTCAAAGCGGGCGATGATGTACGCTGCATCGTTTCGTATGCCAAGATTTTCCGGAAGATTGCCGAGAATAACGTGACGTCGCCGACGCTTTATGTATGCCACTCCAATCGCGCGTACGCCTACTTGAACTTGGGTCTGTTCGAAGAGGCACTGTGGGACGGTCATCGAGCGCAGACGCTCGCAAACGAACGCTTCACGCAAATACAAAGCGATGAAGGCACCGTAAATGTCTTCGTCAAGGGATTCGCCAGAAAGGGCTTCGCTTTGATGGGCATGCGCCGACCAAAGCTCGCGAAGATTGAGTTTGAGAACGGATTGGCGATGAGTCCTAAAGACGAGGAATTGAAGCGCGGTTTGGAGGAGGCGACGCAAGCGATCATACATGATTTGTACGTCGGGCGTGGGAAGGAGAAGCAGTACGCTCTGCCGAGCTGTGGGAAAACGAGCGAGCGGATATCATCCTTGCCATATTCGGCACCGTTGCACCGAGTGCATCCGCGAGAAATGTTACCAAACAAGCTTCTCACGCCGTTCCAAGCAGAGAATGATCATCACTTGAAAGACACGTACAATTACATGACAATTCAGGCTGATATTCGCGTTCCGAAGCGACATTTCAGCGTGTTGCATGACGAGGTTCGAAGATCTAAGTACTCAGCTGCGATTCATCGAGCGATCGAAAAGATGCACGGCGACGCCAAGGATGCACGCGTCTTGAATATCGGATGCGGTGCGGGATTGAATACGATGCTAGCCTTGAAACACGGCGCGCATCACGTTACCGCCACCGAAAGATGGTTGTATCTAGCCATGGCGACGAAGGAGAATCTGCTGAATAACGGTTACAGCGACGATCAAGTGAAAGTCGTGTACAAGCGTCCGACGGATGTGGCTCTCTTACGAGATGTGCCCATTTCGTGCAACATATGCATATGCGACGTATTTGACGATGGTTTATTGAGCTCTGGTATGATTCCGGCCGTTCGTCACGCGCTGGATAAGCTTCTCTTGCCCGACGCTATTATGATTCCCTCCAGTGCGACGATGTATGCCCAAGCCATCGACATGCGCACGCCCTCTTTTGATGGCATCACTCTGAGCGCAATCGATGCCTATCGCTGGCACCCGACGTACATGGCTGGTGTTGATTTATGTGAAGACGCCTACGTCGCGCTGAGCGAGCCAGTTCAAGTTTTCCAGTTTGACTTCTTGATACCGCCGGACTCCAGCGAGCGGCGCACGTTTGATCTTGCCTTCACAAAGCGTGGGAAATTCAACGCCGTGCTCTTTTGGTACGACATGACCTTGATCGACGAAATCAACATATCAACGCGCCCGGGAGTGACAGGCGCACCGTCTTCCATGCGCGCGGCCGTGCAGTTCATGCCTGGAAAGATTGCCGTCGAGGATGGCCTGGTACTTCCGCTCACGTGCGCTCACAACACTGTTGGTATTCAATTCACCGTGGAAGACGCCGAATACGACGAAGTTTCGAAGAAAGACGCGAGCTTTCCGAAGTATCACTTTCACATGCTTCAAGATCACGGTCGTTTGCACGCTTACTCGGACGCGATCGAGCGTCAGGTGGCGAAAATCAAAGGTCGCGGCGAATCCGTTCGAGCGCTCGACGTCGGCACTGGTAGCGGCGTACTTGCGATGCTGACCGCTCGAGCGGGCGCCGATTCCGTGGTCGCTTGCGACACCCATCCGTCGCTTGTAAGTATTGCGCGTAGGAACGTCGCCGCGAATGGGTTCGGATCTCAAGTGAGCGTGCTGAAGCAAGACGTCACCTTACTCGAACGCGGCAAACACACGCCGTACGACGGTGTCAATCTCATCGTGTTGGATGCATTTGATGCCGGACTCACTGGAGATCAAGTTTTGTATATGCTCGAATGCGCGCGTCGACAAGTTTGCGGAAGCTCCTGCGCCGTCGTTCCCGCTGCGGCGACGATTTACTGCGCGGGTGTTGAGGCGTACACGAATGAAGTAGATGGATTTGATCTGAGCGCCTTCAACAAATATAGATGGGACAGCTCGTACGAGGCGACGTACATGAGAGATCAACCGTATCGAGTATTAACGAAACCAAAACGTGTTTTCGAGTTCTTCTTCGATGACTCGCAACGGAGTAAAGGCAGGGAAACGGTGCTCAAGGTGGAGACCATCGCGCACGGTTATTTGAACGCCGTCATGTTCTGGTTTGATTTGCATATGGACGAGGAAGAGACCATCACGACGGCACCACCGGGCATCGATAAGGGCGGGGTCATAGTAGACGCTAGCATTCTTGGCGATGTCGACGGGGAGCGCGCAAAAAAAGTGATGAGTGAATCCTTGCGCCGAGTGCGCGCAAATCTTGCGTCGAATCCACGAAGTAAAGATTTCGAACACAAGGAAAGGAGCGATCCATCGATGACGACTGTTGAGCGCTCAGATGCAGTTCGCCAGGTTTCTATCACAAACGATTCGAGCTCATTCGATAACAGCGAAGAGGAGCGCGTCGAACACTATTGGGGACAAGCTTTGCAATATCTCGAGCGCGGCGTTCAGGTTCGAGCGGGCAAAAAGATTGCCCTGCTGGCCAAGCGCCAGAACAGTAGCGTTCACTTCAGTCTGAAGGAAGGCGTTGGAAGCTGGGTGGGAAAACCGCCATGGAAAATCGAATGGGGTGGCGGTGCTTCTGTGGAAAGCCCACATTTTCAGCGCGTGCATTACTGTCAGCTGCTTGTTAATGATTTTTTGATGCGTTTGCGCTCCAAACGTTTCGCTCCGATAGAGAAAGACATGAAGATGATTCTCGCGCACTGCGGCAACCTGTTTCTAGAACCACGCAGTCTTACAGACGTCTACCACAACCTGGTGATGCTGGAAGTGTATTTCGACTGGGATGACTTTTCGCCGGGCGCGAAGGTCGAATCGATGAGCAAACAATATTTACGTTTGTGCTGAATGAGTTCCTGTGTGTAATCCGGTATCTATCGTTTCTAACTATCATTCTATCGTACTAGTTTGAATGTTCGTCATCGACGCGAACGACCCCATGTGTTTTGCGTTCCTTGCGTCGTACCTTGGGTCCCTCGCATCGACCGCCTGGAAATTGGCGGCGCCGCGACGTCGTCAACTTCATCGCCACTATCGTCATCCGGCGCCGCGTTTTTCGACGGTCGGTGCGTCTTCGTTTTCTTCTGCGTTTTGGATGTTGACATCGCGGGTCTTTTCCTGCCACGCGCTGCTGGAAGCGCTATCGACGCATCATCATCTGACGCCTCAATGTCTTCGTCTTCAACGTTGAAAGAATCATCAGAGTCACTCACGACGTCAGTGGGAACCGTTAGCTTCTTTACCGCGTTCCTCTTCGCGCGTGTCGAAGCCATGGCCGTCGCACGAGAAGCTTTCACTGGCTTTTGAATTGGGTTGCTCAACGGAATCACCTCATCGTCACTGTCTTCGATAATGTCGTCTGATTCGTCGCCTCGATCAAACGCACCAAGGGGCGCCTCTACTTTCTTCGATATCGCTTGACGCGCCGGCACGCGCTTCTGCGTCGGCGGTTCCACGTCGAGCAGTTCGTCATTTATCTTCGTCACAGCGGGCGCGGCACCTTGACCACACTTCTTCACGACCGTCTTTGGCTCTGTGTTTTCGTCCATGACAGGTTTGTGCTTGCTCGGCTTCTTCAACTGCTCCTTGACAGCTTCGTATATTTTATTCACCAGGTTATCCACGTCGTCATCCGTTTGCTCGTCGGCGTTCACCGACGTCTGCACGGCTTTCAAGCGCTGCGAGCAAAGTTGCGATATCGCCGCTTTTTCATCGCGATTCACAAAATCATCCAAGGCAGCGGAGAGGTCGTGCGGAGTAAGGAGTTGCAATCCGTCTGAGTCCCCCAAATGTTCGCGAACGAGTCTATCGATTCTTCTCTGATCCTCTAGAGCGCCGTCCGCGATGTCATCCTCCTCTAACTGGAGCTCGTCGTTTTCTGCTTCGTAATTGACATCCATACCGTCTTTCGTGCGTTTTCTCTGAGATTTATGAAACAGTAAAATGTCGTGCGGATTTGCGACGACGCCGACAAACTTTTGTCCGAATCGTTGCGGGTTGATGGTGCTAAAGCCGCCAGAGTAATCCACTCGCAGACGTATGAGGGGCAAGTTCATACGGTCTGTCATGTCCACTTCATTCGGCGCGTGTCGCTCCTTGTGCTTGCGCGTCGCCCGAGCAATCATATCGCGGACGCAGTTTTCGAGGTATTTAGACATACCCTCGGCGTCGACGCCTTCGAGCTCAGGCGTGGACGCTAGCGACATTTGCTCGAACTCGAATGGTCGCGACGAAAGCAAAGGTATCGGCGTCGCTCTCCAGTACGGCGCTGAGTTGGGATTTTCCGGATCGCTCCTCACTTCCAACACGCATATTTTCTTTTCTTTGGCCTCGCCCTCTATGAGCGAAGTAACTACGGATGAGCCGGGCTGTGAAATGTGAAAGCCCTGAGTCGATTCCGTTGGCTCAACCAAACACTCGTGCTCATGGCCCCAAATGACGAAATCCAACCAACTTGGCAAATACCGTTCTGAAATCGCATTCTTCGAGTGCGCCGCGCGATTCTGGTGGATCAGCATGACGTTGAACCAAGAAGATGACGAACAGTCTTCCGTCTCGGCGGGTCGATGCCATCTTACGCACCCTTTGACACTAAACATCTGATGTAATCTATTGTCTCGTATGTAACCCAAGCCGTAAAGCGCCACCTTGGTCGTTCCCTTTCTAAGTAACACCGGCTTTAAGTCCACGTTGCCCGTGCCGCCTCCCGCTAACGCGTGCTTGCCAAAATAGTTTACGACGCCAGCGCTCGCTAACACGTCCATCGCGCTGAGATTCCTTTCCCCAGCTGGATCGTCGTGATTGCCGTGAATTGAGAACACCGGTAGCTCGACGTTTGTGTGTGGATCTTCATAATTCACAATTCCTGCGTGCGGGCGAACGTCACCGTCAGGAGAGTGCACTTTGACTCTCAGAGTTCAATCTCGTCGTCAACGTACCTCTATGAGGAAAGTTTTCTTTCGTGTCGCTCAAGACCTCGATGCGAACCGCGCCGTCGCCTCTCGTCGCCTCTCGCAAGACATCCATGCACCGAACCAGCGTCTCTCGCGACGGCTTGTTGACGTCGAAGACGTCGCCAGCCATGAAAACGCAGTCACACTTTTGCTCTCTCGCGTGCCTGAAAATCTCCTCAAACGCCGCGAACGCGTCGTCCTTACGCACGGCGTCGCGCTCCGCGAACCCGAGGTGGGTGTCCGTGGCTACTAGTACGCGCAGGGTGTTGGGGTCGGGTGGTTTGACCTGTTTCATCGCGCGACGAGCCGCAGTGTTCGGGGATTGTTTGAAATGAAAGGAAACATGCTGGTACGACACCGGTACCAGCACCGCATCGACTTTAATTGTTTAATTTTCACGAACTTGGTCGAATCTTCAGCCACCGCTCGGTGTCTTTAGCGCGACGACGCATATTGTACACACGTACACAGTCATGACAGCCCACGCTTCGGCGTCGTTCGCGCCGATGGTATCCATACTAAGATTGACTATGCCAGTCAAAATGTTGCCCGCGAGAAACACAATTAGTTGATTTCGACTGACCGCGAAAGCTAATCGAGGCACAATGAGCGTAGGTAAACGCCGCGCCAACATATGCGTCATCGCGACGTAAGCGATGACCACTTGCAAATTGAAAGCGACGACCCAAAATACATACGAAGAGTTCGCCGCGCGTCTCGAGATGTTCTCGACGCCACGGTGAAGAACGAGCGCGACACACCAAAATACAATCACCATGATCGCGGTGCGCCGCAACCACGGAGCTATGCTACTCGTGGGCTTCGACATTGATTTACCGAGGTGTACTCCTATGAGATGTATCGCGTAATAACCGCTCACACTGCAAATACCTTCTCGATTCATCGAAACGACGCGCACGAGCCAATTTGCATGTGAATGATTCCGTTCGCCCGGAGCCTGAAGAACCCACTCGCTCAGACCGTATGCAGTCAGGATGTATTGATATGCAAGCGTGATCGTGACACCGAAAACCAATGCGCGCTCGGGTACGAAAGGAAACATTCGAACCGCAGCGAGCGTAAAGAAAAAATTCCAGTGCCGTCCGTACTCGCTTTCGATCGAATGATATCCAACCGCGGACGTCGTCACGAGACGTACAATTCCCAACACAATGACCGGCAAGACTTTTCGTACGTTTGAAGATAGGCTTTGCCTCGCGGACCCGCGAGCGGCTCGCGAGACGATTGCGGATGAAAATATATAACTCCCACCGCCGACGTCCATCAAGCTCACGCCGTACGTCTCGGTCTTCCCCAGCCTTCGAGGAAACGGCGCGAAATCTACCGCTAAAATCGCGATCACCGTGAGCATCGCGAGGGTGAATCTGTACATCGCGACGCCGTCCTCGAAGGAGAATGTTCGCGCCGCCGCGCGCGCCTGGTCTTCTCGTTTGGGCGCCATCCAATAGAGCGCGCACGAGCCTGCGGCGACGCAGGATGCGGTGAACGCCAATCTAGGGGCAAACATCGACGCCAGAGATGCCGCTGCGAGCGTGATCGTTTCGAACACCTCCGTCATCCGCTCGTGACGCTTTGAACCTCGTCGCGCGTGTTGCAAAGTCAGCGAGACGAATGCGAAAGTGACGACGACGAAGACGATCGCGTTCACCTCCGAGAACGACGTTCCCGCGTTATCGCTCACGAACGCCACCTTAGCTTTGACATCTCGCGATCGCATCCCTCCTCGCTCGCACGCGCCGTCGCCGCCGCCGCGTGACGTCACGCTGTGCAGACCGTTAGCGTTGCCTCTCTGGACGAGGCAAAAAGAAGATCTGCGTGACGATGGACTGGCCTCCCTCACTCGGTGCGTCATCTTCGGTGCGCACACCTCTCGCGATATGCGCGGTCCGGAACGGTTCTATCTCGCGTGCGCGTTTCGCACGCGGGCGAAGAGACCGCCGTCGTCGTCGTCGTCGTCGTCGTCGTCGTCCAAGCTTGAAGTCATGCGAACGATGGGAAGAGAAGCGATGTTGAAATCGATGGACGACGGAGAAACCGATGGATCCGGACCGCTTTTCGACGAAGACAGGACGCTCCTCCTGGACGCGCTTGAGCGACAAGCCTCGAGCGGGCCGTGCGTGGGAGCGCGACCTTGGGGCTTTTGGGATCCACGCGGCGCGTTGGAGTGGGAAGCTTGGTCGATGCTGCGCAAAATTTCCGCGGACAAAGCTATGGAGCTGTATTGCGAAGTGATCGAGATGCGATACCCCGATTGGTTCAACATTTTAGTGCGCGGTATGAGCGAAAAGCAGAAGCGAGCGCTCATCGCTACGGCGAAGGAGTGCGCGCTCGATTACTACAGAGCTCTCGCGAGCGGCGAACTCGGCGACACCGCTAAAGCGACGTCGAAGCAAGCGCGTCAAGTGCTCGCGTTTGACTCTGCCGCGAGTCCAACAGCATTTCTGGACGAAATATTCGTGAGTGCGGCAGATGATGAGTTTGCCAAGTTACCTGTCCTTGACGATAGCTCGCCTCGAGCCCGAAGCGGACACGTCGCGGCGATGGTGCACGGCGACACGCTGTTCGTGAGCCACGGGCGGAGCGCGAATTCACGCTTGCTTGGAGACCTCTGGGGACTCGATCTATCGACCGGTACTTGGAGCGCACGCAGCCTGCGGTGGCCGGGATCTCCGTGCGCGGGTATGGCAAGCGCTTTGATCGATTCAAAACTCTTCTGTTTTCGCGGGAAATCAGCAGCCGATTGCGATGCCTCGGCTGTGTACGTTCTGAACGTGAGTACCATAGAATTGAGTGCTGATTTCAGCTCGAGCGATAGTCAGTTCAAGTGGACGCACGTTCGAGCGACAAACGAAGGTGAGGCTCTACCTCGAGCACGTCTCGCACATACGGCGACGGTGGTGGGGGATTCCGTACTCATATTCGGTGGAGTAGATTCCGCGAGTGGTGATGACATGGCTGAGTGCTGGGCGTTCAATCCACGTAACGCATCTTGGCGTCGACTGGCCGATGGAACGCGCGCACGCAGTTCTCACACCGCGACGGCTCTGGATGATCGATATTTGATTGTGTGCGGCGGCAGCGAAGCTAATGAACTGTGCGATTGCTCCATGGTCGATGTCTTTGATGCTCAATCGAACGAGTGGTGTACGATTCAGTGTGCTTCGAACGTTGAAGCACCGAGCCCGCGAGCGGGTCACGCTGCCGTCGTAGTTGGTAGTCGCTGGTATATTATCGGCGGCGGCGACAACGAGCGCGCGCTGCAAGACGCATACTGTGTAGACTTAAGAGGCTGCGTCGACGAACGTCGAACCGCCTATTGGAGCGTCTTCGCGCGAGATAATCCGCTGATTGGCAGAGAGGGGATGTCCGCGAGTGCTGTGATGAACGCAGCGACAGGGCGCGCATACATCTTACTACATGGAGGCTCGAATTTTGCCGCGAGCGCGTTGAACGACACGCTTGCGTGTAGACTGAGTACCGTTCACGCTTGAAAGGTACGTGCGTCGATTTGTATTACTACGAATGACAATAGTTTCTTAGAAACCATTCAATGACATCACCGTGAGTGATTTGCATGTGTCCTCGCTCCGTCATCTGTGCGCGTCCCGTCATTCGCGGTACGGACTTCGCTTGGATGTATCGACAGATGACTTTTCTTGGTTCACACGTCTCGAGGTACTCGAGCGCATGCTTCGACGCGTCATCGAAGTTTCTCAAACGCTTCAGTCGCTCTTTGTTTGTTGAGCGGTTTAAGTCGTACCAAAACTGTCCAACCGTTACGCCGTCTCTTTCCCCATCATCTTCATGGTCCCATCGCGCGAGTGTCCTTGTGTGTGTCTCTTGTCGCGGCGGCCTTCCTCGACTTTTAGGGTATTTTGTATTCTTTTGGGTTTAGGGTTTAGGGTTTAGGGTTTAGGGTTTAGGGTTTAGGGTTTAGGGTTTAGGGTTTAGGGTTTAGGGTTTAGGGTTTAGGGTTTAGGGTTTAGGGTTTAGGGTTTAGGGTTTAGGGTTTAGGGTTTAGGGTTTAGGGTTTAGGG